TTAATTGTCTATTAATTCCAATTTTGAATTCTGAATTCAATTCCCAGGTAGTGGCCTGCTGTTATAGCTGTTGGAAGGCAGCTTTAATGTCATTTTTAATTGCCATAATAAAGGCTATTGGCTCCTTCAACCCTATATAAGAGAGGGTAGAGGCAGTAGAGTTTTACACACAGAAACATAGAACACGAAATATTGTTTTCCAGCCTCAAAATTCTGCTTCTACTCCCTTTCTTTGCCTACTGTGTTCATAACCACGTCTTGCTCGCCGGATTCTTTGTTTGAATGCTCAAACACTGAATCATAGCAAGTTTTATCCTGGGAAGCCTAGGCCACAACGCTCCTAGCATCTTTGGGAGGTGGCAAATAAGGTTTTAAGGAAAGAGTGCTCACTCGACTCTTGCAAAAACCCAACACCAAACACTAGCCAAATTTCTTCATCTTTTCTTCCCTTCTTTCTAGAAAATAATAGTCAATTTTAATTTGATTATTATTTGTGTTTTCTACCAACGGTACCAACACCAAATAATATAATAAATATCCCTACATATATATAAGCTGTGATTATATGGAAGTCTGGCTGGTTTGCATGTTTAACGTGCGCATGCCCTTTATTCAAAGCTAACAGCCCAAAAATGGATGTCTCCAGCCATTAACTTTATCATAAAAGTATTATAGTTAACATATTTATAACCAAAAGTTGATCTTAGAGTAATTTTATTTTACAAGTTGCAAATAACAAATAAAATTTTTCAAGTAAAAATATTTTCTTTGTCTCATCTTATATTATGTGGATAAATTAAGTACGTATTGACGTTATGGGTTAACCAGATATAATTAATATTAATTGCATTAGATAATTAATTAACTGCATAGCTATGATTAAAAGTAGTCTAATTTAAGGGACAATAATGCTAAGGAAACAAACAAAAAGAGCATGAAATGTGGGTTTTTTTTTTTTTTTGGCAGCAAAGAAAAACATTCAGCGGCGTAGTGATTAATTTTGTAGGGATATAGATATGTTAGCTAGCTAGCAAAGAAGTGACGACGAAGATAGACAGTAACGAGTCAATCAATTTGCCAAATGCCAAGCCGGAGATTTAGGACCAACTTGAATTGGCATCCACTTGAGCCTACAAACATATTCTTTAGTTTGGATTGAATTCGCCTTATCTCATGATTTATCTCTTTCATCAACTTCATAGCAAGGGCGAAAAGTTACATGATATATGAATAATTCAATTTGTTTATCAATTACATTAGTAATCCGCTTATCAATTATTTTAAGTTGCGCATAAAGCCCACAGTTCTCACGCATTGAAGATGAAGATAAAGGGCCTATCAATTGCATTAGTAGTCTGCTTAGGCCTAGCTGGTACAAAGCAGTAGAGCTCCCCATTCCGGGCAAATTATCTTGTGGACCCCATCCAAAAATACATAATTTATATACTGAATGTTTAGTATGTAAATTGTGTATTTTGACATGGGGACAGTTCCCGGTCCACCTATTGGAGATGAAGGGCCTAGCTAGCACAAAGCGTCAAGCAGTACGTAAAGCTCCCAATATACGTGTTCTATACTTTCTCTATATCAGTTATAACTCAAAGAGTTAATACCCCACCATCGAGATTCAATATTGTAACCTTCCTTCAAGAAGAGTCACATAAGTACCATCTTAGCACAAGGTGTTTGCACTTAATTATTGATTTAATTAAAGCAATTACTCATAATCAATTAATCATAGAACTGTTAAGAAAAAGATAATAGGGAACAGAGACCTATGCATGATGCTAGCTAGGCTCCATCGTTTTCGGACCCGACAGATTGGTGGGTCAAATCTTTCAGGACATATATGAACGATTTAAATATGTATGTACATATTTTCTGTCCGATTCTTGATGTTTTTGAAAATGACTATACTATAATCTATATATTCTTCTCAAAAGATTGAATCCCAAGTTCAAGAGTCTCCCACACTCCGGTCTGACAAAGTATCTAAAAGAATATAAATTATGATAACTCAGTTACTGCGCACAGATGTTAAACTTTTACTTACTGCGGACAAGGAGTCCCCTCACTTTGAGAGGTTGCTCCCACATTATACTAGTGAGACTCGATCTCTAATAATTCTTTTCAAATTTCACCCCTATAATCAACTGAACTGTCCATGCAAACAACTATAATATATATTATTATTATTCCTCGCAGGTATTTTCTACCTGCAAATAAACAAATTCATAAATAAACTAAAAATATATGTTGATTATATTCTATGGACAGAGCATTGAGTTATCCTAAATTATTAAATATTTTAATGTTGGGATAGTAGAGTTCAATGTGTTGATGCCATGGGAAGAGAGAGAAAATACAGACATGGCGACCAATAAAGTATATTAACAAATTTAAAAGCAGATTCCATTCTAATCTTGTACTCCGGGTGATAGGTATCACTTTTATCCCTGTACAAATTAACAAGTGTAAATTGTTAAGCCTATATGTAATATGTCCCTGACATTTTCTATATTTATTTATCTGTTTTAAATATATATCATTAGACTAGTTTTTGTTGTAACTTCCTGCTACTTCTTCTCTCTTATACAGTATTTATAGTCTGCTGATTATTCATTAATAAACAATACAGTTTACTCCATATCCTTACATGGTATCAAAAGTCAAAATCTCTTAATAAAGTTTTTTTTTTTCTCTTTCTTTTTCGCCACTTCCCTTTATCAATGGCTTTCACTCCTTCATTACTGGGTGTTGTTGCTCCTGCGACCACCAACGAAATTATTCAACTTACTGCTCCATCAAACTTTCTTATTGAACTCACTACCACAAATTTTTCAATCTGGAGACACCAATCAAGTCCAATCTACTCTTATTCACCTAAATTTCTTTCTAATTAAAATTAAAGATGAGTATTTTTAATGTATCGAAAATAATATATTTAACATTTTAAAAGAATTAATTCGGAAATATATATGTTTTAAAAGGTTGATTGTATGCCGAAGGGAACATTATGCTATGCAACCGTGTGCACCGTGCAAGGTGCTCACAGTTCCAATTCATAATTTTTATAAATAAATTCATAATGTCTGTACTATAGATTCATAATTTCTATACTATATATTCATAATTTCTATACTATAGATTTATAAAATCTATACTATAGATTCATAATTTCTAAATCGTAGATTCATAATTTAAATACAGTAGATTCATAATTTCTATACTGTAAATTCATAATTTAAATACAGTAGATTCATAATTTCTATACAGTAGATTCAAATTATGAACATATAGTTCTGTGATTTGTGAATACAGAGTTCAACAATTGGGAATATGACCATCGAAAATTATAAACATAGAGTTCTGTAATTATGAATATAGAGTTCAATAATTATGAATATGAAGTTCAAAATTTATGAATATATAGATTTATAATTATGAACAAATAGTTCAGTAATTATGAACATAGAACAGTGTGCACCATGCATGGTGCACACTGTTGCACAACATAAATTGCCAGAGACCAATCGTTATGCTGTGAGCACGTGCTCACCATGCATGGTGCGCACAAATCTATATGCATGGTCCGGCCCGTGGGCTATGCAGGCCCCCACCAGACTTTTTTTTTCTTTTGTTCTGAAGTTGTTAGTTTGTTACTTTGTAAGTTTTATCATTTGTACACTATAAAAATAATTAAAATAACTTGTTATATAACATAAGTACTCATTTTAAATTTTAAAATTGTGCGTCAATAGATTGAAAAAGTATAAGTAGTACTAAAACAATAATAATTCTAAAATTAATCAAACATTATATATATATATATATATATATATATATATATATATATATATATATATATAGAGAAGAGCGCTCATATGTGGTCATGTCATTAGGTGTGGTTGTATCTATGTCGTTGAATCAGTTTAATCTAACGGCAGTGGTAATTCTGAGAATTTTCGCGCGTTTTGGTAAGTGGGGGTGTTATGGTAATTACAGTGGCCATTTTATAGCGGGCGGGTTCCAGAATACACCAACAGTGTTGACAACATACACCAATAGTGTAATAAAACACACCACAGTGAAACACATCAATGGTGTATTCCCATGTTATGGTAATTACAGTGGCCATTTATAACGGTCGGGTTGCAGAATACACCAACAGTGTTGACAAAATGCACCAATAGTGTAATAAAACACACAACAATGTGATTTTCCTTATTCCCGTATTTTATGACGAGTTTACCCTTGCAGTTCACTGGGTAGGAGAATGTGCGCAAAAATACTGAAAAAATCTTGATTAATATGATTCATTAGATCTATCTAATCTAATGGCCTATAATTGACCATATGACCACACCTAACAACATGACCACATGTGATCACCCCTATATATATATATATATATAAATATATATATATATATATATATATATATATATATATATATAGCGCACAAGCCTACGGGCTTAAAAGCTTGCACTTTGACAGGCCTCTATTTTCAAAATTATTCATCCCTTCCTAAGTAAGGGGTGAGACGGATTAACCCGACGGGCAAAGCCTGTTTTAACGGCTCTAATTGGAGCTATTATTGAGTCACACCTAGTCAATCAGTTTCTTGTTCTTATTATGATTATGAAACAGTAAGAAAAACATATTCTACTATATTTATGTCTATGTATTGTAAATGTTTACAATACATTCATTTTACTAATGTAAACATTTACACTCTTTAAAAAAAACATTCATTTTTTATTATATGAGTACATTGGTTAAAGTATACAATCTTTTTCTGTAAACATGTACGTGGAAAAAGGTGGTATAAGAGATTAATTTACTTTCACACCATGCGAGGCCAGAAGACAGATGTGGATTAAGAGATTTGATTTGTTACGTACCCCAACAAAATAATGATTATTTAAATGTATAATTTAGGTTTAAGTGTAGACCGTACGCAAGAACATATATACATACATACATGCCATGATTCAATCTGCCCCATTATAAGAGAATCTTTTGACGTTTGAGAGAGACGACAGAGAGATGGAGCTGAGCCCACCTGGTTTGTACAGTTTAGAGGAGTTGGTTGGAGCTCCAAGAAGAGAGAATTGGAGCACAACAACGCTCTTCACTTCACCAGACACCTTCTTCTCAAACGCCTGGTCCAATGGCTTCGATGAATCCTTGGATCCTCCAGATTTTGTGTCCTCTTCTTCTTCTTCGCTACTCGACCTCCTCACTCTCCCCCAAGAACCCACCACCTTTGCATGCCCAGACCTTCAGATCCAGCATGGCTGCGGCTTCGCTAATGCTGCGCCGCCGCCGCAGGAGGAGTACGGCGGCGGCGGCGGCGGAGGAGGAGTTTTCGGGGGGATTAATAATCTGCAGGAGAGTGATGAGTTTAGTGGGTTGATGAGAAGCTGCGGTTGTGCACAAGTGAAGATGGAGCAGCTGGGTAACAATGGCGGCGGCGGCGGCGGCGGGGGGTTAATGGCCGGAGAAATAAAGAAGAGTAAATCCAAGAAAGTTGAAGGGCAGCCTTCCAAGAATCTAATGGCGGAAAGGCGGAGGAGGAAACGCCTTAACGACCGCCTCTCCATGCTCAGATCAATCGTTCCCAAGATTAGCAAGGTAATCGTTACGTTGTTCAATTAACATTAATGTTAAAACTATAGTTGTTGGAAATGGTAGTGATGGATGATGGAAGAAATGGTTGAATAATATTTGTGGCAGATGGATAGAACCTCCATTCTTGGAGACACCATTGATTACATGAAAGAGCTGTTAGAGAAAATCCATCAACTGCGTGAAGATACCTTGGAAGAAGACGACAAAAACCACATCAAATCCCTCGCACCAAACACCAGCAGGGAACTCAAGTCTAATGAAGCAATTGTAAGAAATCCTCCAAAGGTACGGTACATTCTTTTAACTCAATAGTACAGTGAGAGAAAGAAACCTGTTTTAAAAACATAAATCTCAGAATCAAACTTGCTTTACAAAAACCCAGCAACAAAATACAGTCAATCATTCTAGTCTGTACAATTTTTTTTATTTTATTTTTGCAGTTTGATGTAGAAAGGAGAAACGTGGACACTAGAATCGAGATATGCTGCGCAACAAAACCTGGTTTGTTGTTGTCAACTGTGAGTACAATAGAAGCTCTGGGTCTTGACATTCATCAATGCGTTATCAGCTGCTTCAATGACTTCTCCTTCCAAGCCACATGCGCAGAGGTATCATCATCTTCATCTCCTTGGAACTCATTAGTCAGTAATTATAAGATTATAAGTTCGACTCTGATCTATTAGTATTTTTGGATTAACTATAAACAATTTAGGCTGATTTGTCTTTATGGCCTTTAACAAAACTGAGTTTACTCGCACCCTCGAGTAGTGGTCGTGATTTTTTCTCCCGAAGCAAAAAATCTTCTATCTTCATGTATTGCATAATATAACGTAAAAAATAAGGAATTGAATTTGATGTTGATATTATGTTGTGTTAGGCGACGGATCACAGAACGGTTCTGAGCCAGGAAGACGTAAAACAAGCGCTATTCAAGACAGCCGGCTATGGAGGAAGGTGTCTGTAGGAATAGAATAATATTATTGTCTGGGGAATAAATTTAGTAGTATTCCCACTTTTTAAGCGGACATACATGTCTCTTATTCACAACAATTTTTGCAAGTCTTTTAATAATAATAATAATATAATAACATAATGTCGCCATCTACAATATTTCATGTTTTCATAGCTGAGTTCATTACAATTTGGATCTAAAAAGGAGGCTAGATTCTTCATTGGCGAGAGAGATTAGAGGTATAGGGCAAAGAGAGAATTGTACGGTGTTTTGATGACATCCAAACTGGGGCAGCAAATGGCTACCCCACGTGGCGTGCGTAAAGATGCTCCAAAACCAAAAGGGCTATTTCTTGGTTCTTGCCCACAAACACAAAATTCTCTCGTCAGTGACTCCACATCCGGACCCTACAAAATAGTGCAAGAATAAATCACAGTAATTTAACAACAATTAAGTCGGAAGACTAGTGTTTGGTGTCTATAAAGAACTCACCTATTGAGTGTAATTCTTACACTATGATTGTTCGGACTTAGAACATGTATATTGTTCACAATCTACCATTTAAAAACCAACTGAACTGACGGGACCAAAAGGGCCATTTCTGAAACAATGGAGTTTATCTGCATAAGAGGGACCGACCATCACTCTGCAATCGAAACTCCTGTTTGCTCCAACATTCACATTTCTGGTTCCTATTGATGCTCGTGATTCTCTTGTCATTTTCCTTGTAATAACGTAGAAACAACCAAAATGAATGAAATGAGATCAGGGTTCGGATTTATATTCCAATCCAGGAATTGGGTTCCGTCTAGGATCTAGCTACGAGGTCACGGTACATACAGTATGAATTAATTTTTCAGTTAGGTTATTACAACAAGAGTTAACAGCAAATGGAAATCAAAAGTTAGATGGCTTTTCAATCTCAGTCTTCGTCTACACCATCGTTATCGTTGTCATTGTTGTAATCGCAATCATCATCATCTTCCCCGTCGTTAAGGATATTAGACAGGTTTGTTTGCGAGTTTTGGAATTTATGGATGGCATCTCTTGCATCAAAGATTAGAGCATTCTTTGCATCTTGAATTGTGTTCACTTGTTGATCTTGATTACCATTTCTGTGATTGTGCGTTGCTGTTCTTAAAGATGCCGCGGTTCTCCTAGCTTCCCTGCAATGCAGCTGATCAATGTATCTGTCGTGCAAGGCTTTGTTTTTGATCGGCTTTAGAACTGGAGGACTGAAGAGAGCTGCCCCTGGCAAGTTACTTAATTGTGACCGTGGAACTTTATGGCCTGAAGAAGATCTCTCCGAGCATCTTCCAAGGAAACTGACACGATCTAACTTGACCTCAGGGGTGACTACGTTGGCAGCCTCTTGAAATGCTTCGTTTGATTGATCTGTTCTTGACTCAAGAACACTGAACACGTCTGCTTCCTTATCCCGGTCTATGTTGTTGTACTGCTTTTCCATCATCTCCCTCACCTCCCTCACCGCTTTTTGTGAAAAATGGCTCTTCAGTTTGCTGCATCTCAACTTTTTCGCATTTGCATCTGCAGTCTGAAGCAATTTGCTTGCGCTGGGAGGAGACAACAACAATCCTGCCTTCTTTGCCCTTGAGCGAGGGCGAGGTTGAGGAGGGGTTAAGTGATCTAAATGTATCCTGTCAAAGCATTCCTGCGCTGACTTTCCAGGCACCTGCATCATTCACCCAATGTATAACAAATATTAACAAAAATTTCACTACAAAAAAGCTAATGCCCTAGAAGCCATGCTGCACATAAGGGAAATTGCAACTTGCTAGTAATAGTTCATCCCCTTTCTGATCCATTCCAACCTTTCTATACCCTAAATCTTGATTCTCCAAAAACTTTGCTTACACTTTCTACTTAAGAAATAGTAAACTTCCACAATGATCATAATATGAGAGAGATGCAACGTTAACCTAAAAACCAGAAAGGCCATCATGCCTTGTGGTTGCTTTATCTGTATTATGGAGTCTTACATGTGGGTATACATAGCCTTTGTTTGACAAACAAAGCCTAAATTGTCAATACTGCAAAACAGGTTGACATCCTGCTCGATTTCCTTCCACCTACAAGGCTACAAATAGCCGAAAATTTACATGCAATTTATACAGTAGACATATACCGCATCTTTTCTGTTCATTTGAATATTTACTTGCACTATAAATGTTAATCCACATAATGAGTTTGAGCAGACATTTCATGGCTTAGATTAACATTACCATGCCAATTAGAGAAATAATGACCATGTCTTAACAATTAAACAGGCAACTAAAAGTAGTTTAACTTTGCTGCATTCTCCCATTAGATCTTTCTTAGCCCCAGAGATCAGAAGATACATTCAAAGCAGGAAAATAACATAAAAAAAAGGAAACAAAAAGAAGATTTTCACAAGGTATTAAGTATTGGGAAATTACCATCTTTGCAACTTTCTTCCAGAACTTAGGAGTTGCCTTAGCAGCAAAATAAGCTTTCTGCAATGCCAACTCTTGTTCTTTGGTCCACCCTTTAGCAATAACATGCCCATCCTCTTCCTGGGCTCTCTTCCTCTTCACACCTCTCTGTTTCTCTCCCAAGTCAATACTCTCCTCAGGATTCTCTCCTCCCTCAATTGCAACTTCTGATGGCGATTTAGTGGGAAAAGTTTCAATCTTTTCCAACTTGCTTGTAGAAGGCTTACCAATTCGGCCACCGTGTTTGGCTTTTCCTTCATCAGCCTGAGACAGGCAAGAACTCCGAGTAGCCCTCTTCTCCGACTTAAGCACTGATTTATTTGATGAATTCACACGCGGTTTGGACTTTATCTCAGGCGGGTTAGGAGTCTTATTGGAATTCCTAATTGCGGGACAGGCCACAACTACATCCCTGTATCCTTTTTCCACAGAACTTACCTCAATCCAATCCTTGGCGATCCTTTTCCCAAAGCTACCATTCTCTGCAATCCTCTTGGATCGCCTGAGAGGAGTGAAATCCTCAACTTGGCTAACCAGTATTGAAGATCTTCGAGACCTAGTGCAAGAATTTGAGGAAATTACCGAGCCATTAGTAATTTCCATTGCCTTCGCCTTCTTCGAAACTTCTTTTGAACACTCAAATCGACTAATCAATCTAGAAGACCTTCGAGGACCAGTACTCGAATCTCCGGACATTACCGAACCATTAGACTTTTCCGCTGTCCTTCCCGAGGCTTCTCTCTGCTTTTTGTTCAAAGAAATTTTGCGATTGGAGCTGAGAGGAGTAGAGTCGGCGTTCGGGACCCGAATTGCCCTCGGTTCGATCTCTGGAGTCACCGGATGTTCTAAATCCTGTTGATTCTTGGGAAGAAATCGGGGAGACCTTCTGAGAGAGACCGCGTGCTTGTCTTCTTCGACGGAAGTTCTATGGCGCATTTTCGCAAACAGGTTGCGGTTGTGTGCTCAGATTGAGAACACGGAGAACGAGGCAGTGGAGCTGTGGAGGCAGGGAGAGGGAAATGTGTAAATTCAAAAAAAAAAAATGAAACGACAAACTTATTTTACTTCTAGATACAAGATCACGGGCCCAATCATTAAAGTGCCAAGCCCGTTCACAATAGGCCCAATAACTTATTTGAGCCAAACTTAAATATATGGTTGGATACGGAAAACATTTGACCCAATTAACAATATGAAGCCCATCTTAGGATAACACACGGTTGCAAAAACGACATCGTTTTAACGTCCGACTTAAAAAAGATATATTTTAGAATTGCATAACTACACATCCATAACTTCATAACTATACATCCAGAATTGCATAACTACACATCCATAACTTCATAACTATACATCCAGAATTGCATAACTACACATCCATAACTTCATAACTATACATCCAGAATTGCATAACTACACATCCATAACTTCATAACTATAAATCCAGAATTGCATAACTACACATCCATAACTTCATAACTATACATTCAGAATTGCATACATAACTACACATCCATAACTTCATAACTATACATTCAGAATGTGAAATTATAACTTCATAACTATACATTCAGAATTGCATGCATAATTACACATCCATAACTTCATAACTATAAATCCAGAATTGCATAACTACACATCCATAATTTCATAACTATAAATCCACAATGTGAAATTATAAAATTATGAACATACGTTTACGTAACTAACAGCAATCGAAAATGAATTTTTTTATTTAAGTAAAACGACGCCGTTTTTGCATCCGTGTGCGCCATGCATGATGCACACGGATACACAGCATAATTTGCCAGGATAACACGAGTTGTTATACCATGGACCAGGGTCCACCTTGCAAGATGGACCTTGGTCCTAAACGACGTATAAATTATGTATTTTTAGTATTGGTATTCTAAACTTCTAGAATATAAATTATGTTTTTAAGTCAAAACACATAACAGTTGTAGAAGGGAATTTGTAAATACAATACAAGGTCATCAAATCCTAATCTATTAATATTGTGTGATTGTAATATTTGAAAGGAACTTGTAAATACAAAATAAGATAATCAATTACATATATTTTAACATTTTATGTTCATAGTATACAAATTGTAAATTTTTAAAAGGTAAATTGTGAACATTTGGACCCAGGTACACCTTGCAATGTCTACCCAGGTCCACATAATAATTTGCAAGAATAACACATATATGGTTGAAAAGCAGCACATTTGGACTTTATTTTAAACCATAATTTACATTAGGAACAAGGGTCAAATAGGTCATCAAACTGCACATGATAATACAATTTGGCCACTGAACCCAAAAAATCAACAATTGAGTCTCTAAACTTATCAATTCCTAACAATTCTTTCAATTTGAAGGTTTCAAACAAGTCAACAGGTTATCCTCCAAATTAATTATTTTTTTAAAAATAAAATTTAAAGATTAATTATTAATTTTTTTTTTTTTAAAAAAAAAAACAGATCGGCTGAATTCTGTTTTTTTTTAATTATTTAAATAATTAATTTTTAAATTTTATTTTTTAAAAAATAATTAATTTGGGAGGATGTCCTGTTAACTTGTTGGAAACCTATAAATTGGAAGAATTGTTTGAAATTGGTTAGTTTAGGGACCTAATTGTTGATTTTTTAGGTTCAGTGGCCTAATTGCATTATCGTGTGCAATTCGATG